TACAAGGCGCCATCCGTGTCGTCATTTCGAGCACTAACGGATATTTCTTTTGGTTCAAGTGCTGTATGGTGTGCAGATGATTGTCTAAAACTAGCTGGAATTATTAAGGCGCATTGGTTACCTGGCTGCTGAGATTTACCCAGCCCTGCATTAGAAAAAAAAGTAGTGTACTGAGGATTTTAAAGCGACACTAAACTCAGGAGTTAAATCTTAAAAATGCATTCCAGTACCTAGGAGAACTATGGGGTCAGGGCTTTTCCTCATAGTTCTCCTAATGGTAACGGGAGGACACAAACTAGCGTCCTCCCGTCACCCAAAGCTCAGTATACTGAGACGCCGCAGCCAGGACGGATCCTGACATTACTGTCTGGATCCACCTGAGTGACAGCTAGCTCTGCCTATCTAGAGGCAGCTGTACCCGTCGCCTCCCCCCTCCGTTCTGCCAGTCAGCACTGGAGGATCGGAGAGGGGGTGGTGGGGAGAAGCCCTGCAGGGAGCCGTGAGTGACAATCGTTACTCTCTGCAGGGACAGGATTGAGAAGTGAGCGATAGACGGTATGTGTTCGCTCACTTCCCGATCTATTGAGCCGACCTGTGAGTTTCATTCTCACAGGTCGGCTAGAACTATGAGGCTGAGCCTCATAGTTCTCCTTTAACTATTACACAAATAAGATACAGTTTTGGTATCACTCGGCTGTAGATCCTCAAATCATCTCTAAATTGGTGCTGACACTGTCCTTCCTTCTAGAGGATCCTGCGTGTGTTGTAAAGTAGTCGCTGCTCCAAAATCACTCCCGTGATAGAATACAATCTCAGGTTAAGTTGACTAAACTGTATTGAGATTGTAGTCCATCACAAAAGTGAGCTTGGAGCGGTGACTACTTTACAACACACACAGGGACCATGGGGAACAAAAGTAGCCCCCCTCCAGAAGGAAGGACAGTGTCAGCACCAATTCAGAGATGATTTGAGGATCTACAGCCGAGTGATACACAAATAAGATCTTTTGCTAATAGTTCAGGTACATGAATGTATTTTTAGGATGTAACTCCTGAGTGTAGGTTCACTTTAGGGCTTTGCCTTACATGTTACCAAACGTGTCCTAGCAAGACTGGCTGTCATGGTGTTACAAGGGGAAGGCAAACTACAGGCCAGCATTGACCAGCTCTATCATATCACTCTGATGTAAATACAGACCAAGTAATGAATACAAAACAAAGATCTTCGATCAGCTGATAGTAGCAAATTCCACAAGCTTCTGGAGTCTGCTATTGAGAATCACTGGCCGACAAGTATTCTGAATGCTCCAAAGAGGATGCTGAGGTGGACAAACCACTGTAGAATCCAGGAAACAGTAGGTCCAGTCTTGTAATGAGCCAGGGAACATCTTCCCCTGACCTCAAAATGATACTCAAGTGTTGGGTTCAGTTGCACTTCGGTTTATTGGCTACGGAGATAAATCCGGCCCTATCTCTAATAGCACAGAAAGCATCCCTCAACATATAAACCCACCCAAAAAGATAGAAACACAAAGCTAAAGAAAACAAAAAACGGTATATTTAGGTCATATTGCATGGAGAGGCTGTTAAGGAGGGTGTGGTTAACTTTATTATTCCATATATTGAAATGATAGAGGGGCTCCCCAGTTCCATACAGCATCATAGGGGGGATCCAGGGGGCTCCCATTCACATCATATATGAAAGTAAAATAGTAGGGTGTGAACTTCACCTACGTAGAGAAAAAAAAACCGCTGTGTATTATGAAGTCCCACTCGAAGAATAAAGAGTAACGAGAATAAAATTCCAGGAGATCTCCAAAGTTCTCACACAAAGAGTTCCACTGCCCCCATGATACCTCTATTACACACTGTGGCAAGAATAGACATATATGAGGAACAGGACGTCTCACAATATATCATACACTTACTATTCCAGGGACACCGGTGTTGACTGCAGTGATTATATTCGCACTGAGGATATTGGTTAGATCCCTAGATGAATGTTACGCATTTTGGAACCTTTAAGAGATTCCCATTGGCATACTATAAGCAGAAGATAGTTTTTTTTTTTTTTTCTTTATACAATATCTTACTCACATATTGTGCATCCAGGAGAACTGGAAAGAGCACTACTCCCAAGTCACACTGCGCAGTAAATCCCACTCCCATAACATACATTAATGAGCCTATAATTACTCCCGGGACATACATAAAAGGCAGATTGGAGGGCTCTAGTGGGGAAAGCTGCTGCGTTTTGTTTTAAAATAAAGAACTCCACAAAGTCCCAAACTGTATATCGGATCAAGGAGAGTGTAAGGTGTTGATTGCACTTCTTAGATTACCTGCAGGGATCAGGATAAAAAAGGGAAACCTCAAAAATTGCAACGCTTGTCCCACTCAGAACTTCTGGTAATTGGCTTTTGTAATAAGAAAGATGAGAGGTTCTTAGGGCCAGTTCACACCACCATATGCAGTTGTGATGCAGGCCGTTTATTTGACTGTTACAGTCAAAATATATCACAATGCTTTCCTATGGGCTTTCTTGTGCTTTATTCACACCATTGCAGTGTCAATAAAGGGCTTTCTTGTGCTTACACCATCACACCATTGTAGTGTGAATAAAGCACAAGAAGGAAAGCATTGTGATGTATTTTGACTGCAGCAGTCAAATAAACGCACTGCATCACAACTGCATATGCTGTGAACTGGCCCTTAGGGGTGACCTCAAACAAAGCGAGACCTTCCGGGTGTCAGAACCCTGGCACTGCATCATTCAAAATGACACTGCGCCAAAACATAAAGTGACTCAAAAACCTATTGGAAAGTTGCAACACTGCGTTGGACGCTAAGGCCGGAATCGCATTGTTGCAGCGAGTTAATCTCTCACAGCAAATAAGGACAGAACTATTTTTTATGCAGTTTGAAAGGGATAGAACCTGTCAATTTTTTTTTTTAAAGGAGAACAATGGGGTTAAGGCTTTTCCCCATAGTTCTCCCTAGGGTAATGGGAGGACACAAACGAGGGTCCTCCCGTTACCCTAGGCTCAGTATACCGCGAGCTGTAGCTCGCGGTATACTGAGACACCGCGAGCTGCTGCTTGCTGTATACCGAGATGCCGCAGCTGAAGCGGATCCCGACAATTGTGCCGGGATCCGCCCAGCTGCGTGACTGAGCTGGCTCTGCCTATCTAGAGGCAGAGCCAGCTGTACATGCCTCCTCCCGATCCGCCAGTCAGCGCTGTAGGATCGGAGCGGGGAATCGAGCCCCTCCCCTGTCACGGCAGAGAGCCGTGACAGGATCGAGAGGTGAGCGAACGCCGGTATGTGTTCGCTCACCTCCCGATCTACTGAGCCGACCTGTGACAGTCTCATTGTCACAGGTTGGCTAGAACTATGAGGTGAGTGAAAAGCACTCACCTCATAGTTCTCCTTTAACATTGGTGTCCTTATTAGGAAGATCGGTCCTGTTGACTGCTATCAACCAGGATTAAAGAGAACTGCACCTAATCTAGTTAAAGTGACACTAGACTCAGGAGTTAAATCTTAAAAATACATTCATGTACCCTAACTATTCACAAAAATGTATCTTATTTGTGTATCACTCAGAAGTAGATCCTCAAACCATCTCTGAATTGGTGCTGACACTGTCCTTCCTTCTGGAGGGTGACTACTTTTGTTCCCTGTAGTCCGTGTGTGTTTTAAAGTAGCCACCGCTCCAAGCTCACTCCTGTGATGGACTACAGTCTCAGTACAAATGAGTAAACTAAACATGAGATTGTAGTCCATCACGGGAGCGAGCTTGGAGCGGTGACTACTTTACAACACACACAGGAACCATGGGGAACAAAAGTAGCCACCCTCCAGAAGGAAGGACAGTGTCAGCAACAATTCAGAGATGATTTGAGGATCTACAGCTGATTGATACACAAATAAGGTTCAGTATTGTTAATAGTTCAGGTACTTGAATGCATTTTGAGGGTTAAATCCTGAGTTTAGTGTCACTTTACAGAGGAAATGCACCTAATCTAGTCAAACCGTGCCCTACGTCAACACTTCCTGGTATGACTGTGTGTGCAACATGTCTGCAAATATGTGAAATTCTCAGGCTAATATCGAAGAAAGCCAAGAGCCAGAAGTTCTGCCTGAGAAAGCCAAGAACTAGAGGCTCTGGACCTGCTAGTACATAACATTGGATCAGTAAAGTTCTTAGGCTAATATCTGAGAAAGCCAAGAGCCATCATTTCTGTCTGAGAAAGCCAACCACTGGAGGCTCTGCTCATATCTAACATTGGGTCATTAAGGTTCTTAGGCCAATATCTGAGAAAGCCAAGCACCAAAGTTCTGTCAGAGAAAGTCAAGCACTAGAAGCTCTGGACCTGCTTGTACATAATATTGGATCAGTGAGGTTCTTAGGGGGACAAATTAAGAGGATCACCACGCTTAGATCGAAAGAGAAAAACACCTAATTTTTGTGCATTTTCGAGGCTCTTAATAGGAGCACCGGGGTGCAGAGCTCAGAGTAAAACCTTACACTCCCTTTGCTGCAACATATGAGGACTTTGTGGCTCATTTGACATCAGGGTGTCATGGCAGCCAGGCACACGGTCCCGCTATTACAGCCAGGAAGACCTGCCATGCAGGGACTTGTATATTCAGAACAGCCAGAGTCCCAGGCTGCTCATTGACGACTAATTGGACTACGGGGACAAACAGGGACTAAGGGGAGTCCCACAATACACACAAACATGGGCAGTTCTTGTAAGCAAGGCAGAGTCCCAATAGAAAACAGGCCAAATAGTAAATTAGGAACTATTTAAAACCATAACAAAACACACTGCCTAGATTTACGACTTGGCCTACAAAGAACTACAAGTCTCACCATGCCCATACAGCTTGTGGTTCCTCCACAGCTGGTGTACAGAGCCCTATGGGCAGCCTGAGTTCTCCCTCCCCTCCCCCCATGTTTGGGGCCTGTCCCTGGCTGGGCTCACTCACACTCACCTGTCTGGCAGGGGATGGTGGTTTGGGCACTACTACTAATGTCACCCCCCGCCATGGGCACGCTACAAGTGGCTGCGGAGGGGCTGCTTTTCTGTGTTATACTCTCCACTAGCTGCGGGATGATGGCACCCTCCGACGCCATGTCTCACTCTCCTACTTCCCCCACCCTCCGGAGGGAATGGCCAGCAGCAGGGTGTGGGGCAGTGACGTCACGAACGACGCGCAGAACGCTTTCAGGACAGGATCCCAGCGGCTGCGCAGGTCCCATGACCGGAAGTCACGTGGGATACGTGAGCGCGTCCTGCGCCATCTTTAGTGTTGTCAGGGATCCGTCTAGCTTCCTGTAGATTTGGTGCGGGAGTTTTTGGGAAAGGGTGCAACCAAATTTCCTTTTTTTCTTTCATTTTATTGGTCACAAGTTATCTTTTTCATTTATTTTAAGTGTGTGAGCTCTGTTCTAGAGTACACCTGGAAACTATAGGGGGACAGACAGACTGTGGAGCCGCTGTGCATGGCAACCAATCAGCTTCCAACTTCAGTTACGTTTTAAAAATGAAAGCTAGACGCTGATTGGTTGCTATGCACAGCTGTTCCCGTCTTAATAAATTCCGCTCAAAATATTTCGCCTTCCTGGTTCGTCCCTCCCCGTAGTTCTCCTCAAGGTCACGGGAGGACATATACTAGCTTCCTCCTGTGTCCCAAAGCTCAGTATATCGCGAGCTGTACACTGAGAGCGCTGCAGCCAGGACGGATCCCGACATTACTGTCGAGATCCGCCCAGCTGTGTGATCGACAGCTGGCTCTGCTTATCTAGAGGCAGAGCCAGCTGTACCTGCCCCCTCCCCTGTTCGTTCCTCCAGTCAGCGCTGGGGGATCAGGGAGGGGGGGAATTCCTGCAGTGAGCCGTGAGTGACAGTCACTGCTCTCTGCAGGGACAGGATCGAGAAGTGAGCGAGCGACTGTATGAGTTCGCTCACTTCCTGATCTATTGAGCCGACGCGTGACAGTTTCATTGTCACACGTCGGCTTGAACTATGAGGTGAGTGAAAATCACTCGCCTCATAGTTCTCCTTTAAGTGCAATATTTCTGTTTACATTACATTCCTTATTTTGGACGCAGTGACATCATCATTGGGTCACTGTATAATGCAGGCAGATCATGGCCAGGAGCTGTACATAGCTGAAAACATAGCAGTCCTCAGTACTTTTCTCACGGCCCAGTCACACCATCAAGAGTGCGTTCCAGTGCGTTCAGCCTCTGGAACGCAACCCAGCGGGCTCACTTTGTTTTGGAGCGGGAGAGGGCATGGCAATGCATTTAACTCAATTGCACCGCATCCACGCCCCCCACCCGCGGTGCGATCGCCGACACCCGAATGCGTGGCACATTAGTGCCTGAGTTCCGGTCCAGTTCGATCTGCAAAAAATGCTGCATGCGCTATTTTTGGCAGATTGCACTGGACCGAAACGCAGGTCCGGGTCCTGTCCATCGCACCGCGGGGAGGGGGGGGGGGATAGCATGGCTGCTGTACCATTGAGTTCAATGCACCGCCACGCCCCCTCTCGCTCCTAAACAAAGTGAGCCGGCCGGGTTGCGTTCCAGAGGCCGAGCGCACTCTTGATGGTGTGACTGGGCCTCCAAGTGCCCTCAGCCCTGATGTAAGCAGTGGGCTCGCTCTGGGAGGAGTTATGCATATATTAAAATGCCTTGATGGGTGGATCTCAGTCTGGAGGAGTGGGCGTTCCTTGGACGATTGTATTTGCATGTAGACTGCCCTAGGCACTGCCCACACATGATGTGTCAGTGGGATAACTTACGCCCCGTAGTCGTTGTCCATGGGAGCAAGCATTGGTATTTGGGTGTCACTTACCTAAAGACATTATGCCCTTCTGCCTCAGATGATGCTGGGACTATGCTGTGATGGGAATTTATCAACCAATCAGCTTCTCTCTTTCATTTTCAAATCTTAACCGAACAAACTGAAAAGAGAAGCTGATTGGTTGCCATGGGCAACTGCCCCAGATTCTGTCTGCTCCAGTTTGGATAAATTCCCTTCTGTGACTGCTGCCACCAAGTGCCCATGGACACTGTGGGACATTGCCCATAATCCCAGTACTGTCCTACAGGATCCAGGACACTTGGGAAACTCAGGCATCCCAACCTGAAAAAATTAATTTCAGGGAGGTGGCTTCTCATTTCAGGGAGGTGCCATCTCCCCCATCCGCGCGTGTGTGGGGGGATATGGAGGAGAGGGTGCCTCCCTGAAATGATGGTAGATAGCAGAGGATCTAATGCTGCCCTTCCCATCTGCTGTTTTGTTTTGTATGTGACAGCTCCTGCCGTCAAAAAAATTATAACAATAAAAAAAAGACAGCGTGGAAATGAATAGCTGGATTGCTATTGGCTATTTCAATTTGCAATAGCCAATAGCAGGCTGGCTATTGCACCTGCCCATTGCCGCTGTCGATCAGAAGAGGAGGACCTGATGGAGAACTTCAGGTCCTCCTCTGCTGATCGACAGCAGCAGAGGGCGGGTGCAATAGCCAGCCTGCTATTGCAAATTGAATTAGCCAATAACAATGCAGCTATTCATATCCACGCTGTTTGTTGTATCTTTTTTTATTTTTTAGGCGGACGGCCCCGATATAAAAAAGAAGCAGACAGCAGGGAAATGTTTACTCTGCTAGATAGGGATAGGTTTTTTTCCAGGATAAAATGTTTCTCTCCCGGGCGTCCGGGAGCCGCTATCTTATAGAGGGAGACTCCCGAAACAACTGGGAGAGATGAGATGTCTGAAAACTGTGCCCATGGCCTGTCACAGAGGTGTATGGGCTGCTTTAGGCTTTTCGGTCGCGCGTATTTTTCCACTCTGAAACGCCTACATGTACAATCCTATACATTCCTATTTTGGGTGGCATCCGCCTGCCACCCAAAATGCTCCCTGAGCTACTTTTGTCGCGCTGATCAGCGCAATTTCCCTATAGATTCCAACGTGTTTTTATTTGCACTTCAGCGCTGAAACACGAATAAAAATGCCCAAAAACACCCTTTCAAAAAACACACAGAAGCCGCGCTGAAACACTGCCGCCCGGGTGTGAATGGGGCCTTAGATTGGGAGGGAATGGAATCCACTGGTAAGCCATGTCTGTTCTCCCTCCTCCAACTCACTGGGCTGTTCACATAGTTGCTGTACAGGGTCTTCACCTTCCCTGAGAAAACAAAGCGGCTTCATGGTCCTTTCCCTTATATTGACAACAAGGCCCATTGTTACCATAGTGATGTATCTGCACGTAAAAAAAACAATGGCCGAGAACTGGTAAAGTGGTCGGAGCTGCGACATGCAGAAATGTAAAAGGAAAACGAAGAGAAAAAAGGCCATAAAAAATGTGTATAGCAACAACAATGTGCGCAGCGCTTTACAAAATGAAGCGAGACTGTACAGTTACAATACAAGAGGATCGTGATGGCTTCTAACTTTGAAAGCAGAGTGGGCGGAGACCCCTTAACCATTTGCCGTCTGTCTGGCCAAATGTAAATAAACAGCCGCATGGGGGGGGGTGTTTATAAGCGTCCTTTCCCATTCTTGCCCCCCTGGACGTGAAAGTTTGACAAAACCTTTGAAATGTGCTGGCGTTATATCTGCCCAATCGCTTGCATCGTGCGGGAAGTGTGCACCCCCCTCCCTTCACAGGCGCTGTTGGCAGTCCTGGGCTCCGTTGTCCGGTTCTCTGTGGTTGGACTGGACGGGAGATCAACACCTTCCACCACCTGAACTCCCCTCCGATCACTGAATGCGTAAGTGATGTGTATTACATCACTTCCGCTTTCAGCCTGTCATTTCTCCGACTGTTCTAGCCAGAGAAGAAGCTGGAGAAGCAGATCTCGGCTTCATCAGCTTCTTTGAGGTCCCTAGGTGACATTTGGGGTCTAGAGACACCTGATGTCTCCCTAAAGAGGATCTGTCACTGTGTCTGTGCCTATTAGCCCCCCTGTGATAGTAATAAAGTTAAGTAAAAAAAAAACTACATTTGAATTAAAGACACATAAAAATGTTTTTAAAAACAAAACATTTTTTGTAAGTCCCCCACCCCCGTGAAAACGCACATACAAACTCAAACGCGTGTCGCGTGCGCCTACGTGCAAGAAACGACGGTTGCACCACACATGTTATATATCGCCGCGAACGTCGGAGTGAGAGCAATAATTCTCGGGCCATCAATCACTGTTAACACTGAACTGATGAGCGGTAAAAGCTTTTGCTGCATCACCTTTGGGCAACTGTGGGTATTTTAGATTTTTGCATTTTCACAGGCGCACGCAATTTTACGGCTTGACATGTTTGGTGTTTATTAACCACTTGCTGACCGGGCTGTTTATACCCCCTTCCTGGCCAGGCCATTTTTCAGTATTCAGCGCTGCGGTACTTTGACTGACATTTATTACCTCATACAACGATGTACTGAAATTAATTTTATACCATTTCTTGGGGACAGATAGAGCTTTCTTTTGGTTGTGTTTAATCACCACTGCGGGTTTTATTTTTTACTATATAATGAAAAAAGTACTGAAAATTAAAAAAACAAAACAGTTTTCCCTTTATTATGAAAATCTATTGATCTGCGCTTATAGATAATATATTAATAATATGGGAAATTAAGCTGCCACAATACAGACAACGACTTTGCGGCGCTAAACCCCCTATATACCCCTATATATCTAAACACATTTCTTTGATTTGCTATTAACAGGGCGTGAAAAATCTGTGACGAGAGGACGGTGGAGCCCGACGAGCAGCTTCCCGGGCCGGCCGTTGTAATTACACGGCCGGGAGCTTTACAGTCAAGCGATCGGGCGCCTCTAGAGACGCTCGATCGCTTGTATTAGCAGCTGCCACTGCCGTTGCCGGTCCCGAGATCCGCTGTGCCGATGCGGGCGAGACCGGCACGGCTCTGTGACAGGAGATCAAAGGGAGTTCAGTATACGAACTCCCTTTGATCTCCTCTCAGTCCCCAAATGCAGGAAGTGATGCATATTACATCACTTCCTGCATTCAGTGTCACTCTCCAGCTACGGAAGCTGATGAATCAGATCTCGGCTTCATCAGCTTCTCCGGGGGCTCCCTAGGTAACATTAGGGGTCTTGGAGACCCCTGATGTCTCCATAAAGAGGACCTGTCATGT